CAATTGAAAATCACAAATGTCCAAACAGAACATATTAGTGTTAAGTTTATTATGCCCCCGCCATGTAATGGCCGGGGCATATAGTGTTACCCTGTTCCGTCATTCCGTCCTTCCGTCCTTCCGTCCTTCCATCCTTCCGTCCTTCCGTCCTTCCGTCATTCTGTCATTCCGTCATCATCAGTTTCCGTTCATTATCTTAAGAACGGTTTGACATATTCAACTCAAATTTGACATATGGATATGTCATGAGAAAATACAGGTCAAGTTCGATTTTGGTCATGGTTCGATGATTTTTGGCAGAGTTATGCCCCTTTTACTTTGAAAATAATATGAAATTTCAGTTTCCGTTCATTATCTTAAGAACGGTTGGACACATTCAATTCAAACTTGACATATGGATATGTCATGAGAAAATACAGGTCAAGTTCGAATTTGGTTATGGTTCGATAATTTTTGGCAGAGTTATGCCCCTTTTACTTTGAAAAAAATATGAAATTTTCAGTTTCCGTTCATTATCTCCCCAATGGTACAACACAATCAACTCAAACTTGACATATCGATATGTCATGAAAAAATACAGGTCAAGTTCGAATTTGGTCATGGTTCGATGATTTTTTGGGAGAGTTATGCCCCTTTTACTTTGAAAATAATATGAAATTTTCAGTTTCCGTTCATTATCTCCCTCAAGGTACAACACATTCAACTCAAATTTGACATATGGATATGTTTTTGGAATGCCCAGGTCAAGTTCAAATTTGGTCATGGTTCAATGATTTTTAGTGGAGTAATGCCCCTTTCACTTTGAAAATAATATGAAATTTACAGTTTCTGTTCCTTATCTACCCAACAGTGTCACATATTGAACTTTAATTTGACATATGGATATGTCAAAGGAATGGGCAGGTCAAGTTGGAATTTGGTCATGGTTTGATGATTTTTTGGCAGAGTTATGTCTCTTTCACTTTGAAAATAATATAGATACATCTTAGGAATAAGCAGTTTAAGTTTGAATTTGGTCATGGTTCAATGATTTTAGACAAACTTATCTTTCTTGAATATTGGAAAAATTTTGAACTTTCAGTTTCACCACTCATTCTTTTAGCCATTATTTTGGCTACAAATATGCAATATGCTATTTCTAAAAGGTTAAGACTGAATAATTTCAGTGCTTTGAACATTGTATGGAAATGGTTTGTGTTAACATTGAAAAGTTTTAAGGGCTTTGAACTTAAAATGAAAAAAATAATTAATGCACCATCTGAAATTTTGGCTGCATGCGGGGGCATCTGTGGCATGATGACACATTTCTAGTTTAAATGATAAAACACCTAAATTTTATCACAAATACAGTCCAACCCCGTTTATTCGAAGTGCCTGGGACTAAATATTTACTTCGAATAATCGATGGGTTCGAATAATCGAAATCGGAATATTGTGATAGACGAAAAGTACTCCACTTTGACCAATCACCGCAAAACTACCGTTTACAACACACTTGCTTCCTGTAATCAATTGAAAAAAATTGATATTAAAGAAAAGATGCGTAAAAATTATTGCATTGACATTGAAGACATAAATACTTGCATTTTATTCTACATTATGTATCGTTTCGTTTCGTGCAAAGCCTTGATAATGGCCGTGTCGTCACTACGGTATTTACAGCTAAACTCTGGTATTTTCGATAAGGATAAATTAAGACTCTCATGTAACGTTACAATTAATTAAAAAAATGTTTTGGATGTTTTGACAAATTCACATATACGGAATGTATAAAAATTATTGCTGTCATCTTAAACAAAATCGGACACGGTGCATAGCTTTTCATTTTCGTTAATTAAAGTTGATTAAAGAACACACGAATAGTTATTATCATGATTGTCTAATTACACGCATGACTGTGGATATTTTTCACAAGTCGACTGGTCAGCGAGTGGATCTGCGTCAATTAGTCTGGCTTTGAATAATAATTAGGCTGGCTTCGAATAATAGGTGTGAAATTCTTTCGTAATTGTATAATCGGGACCGAAATTTTACTTCGAAAAATAGGAGGTATTCGGATAATGCATTTCGAATAATACGCTCGTATTTATATTGTTTTATATAGGGATAAAAACGGGACCGGCGATCTACTTCGGATAATGCCGGGTATTCGAATAAAGGGTTGTCGAATAACCGGGGTCGGACTGTAGACTGTCAAATGTCCAATGCAAGGCTACTCTCGATTCATCCTTTGCAGCATTTTGAATATAATACCAGTTTTCTCATTTTCAAACACCCTTTCCAGCAATTATTTCAGGTCAGTAGGTGAGTAGTGACCTGCTAACTCCTATCCTACTAAAATAGCAAATGCTTCTCCAATGGAATGCAAATCTCACAAAGGAGTGAGTCAACAAGTCGAAATCCTTGATCTTGGGGGCCGGTATAAACTAAGTTTATAGTTATGTCTTTAATATGAAATAATAATGTATGACAAATAAATCCTTTCTTAATTTATTCTAAAACATGTTTCTGCTGAACACAGAACAAACACATATTTTATGTTAAACAAATAAAGAAAATATTTTGAAACAAGAGAGCCATGATGGCCCTGAGGTCGCTCACCTGTATATACCCCCCTCCCCCCCCAACGTTGCAGGGCCAATTTAACCCAAGGGCTTTTATTTGCACAAACTTGGTAGACACCCATAAGAAGATGTTTCATGCTAAACATCTAAGCTCTAGCTCATTGGGCTTTTTAAAAGAACATTTTTTTTAAGTTTTTACTATACACATATAGTTAAAAACAATGACACCCCTGGGGCCGGGCCAGGGCTTTTATTTGAACAAACTTTGTTAGACACTTACTAGAAGATGTTTCATGCTTAATATCTAAACTCTAGCTATTTGGGTTTTTTCAAAGAAGATTTTTTAAGTTTTTGCTTATACACATATAAAGAAAATCAATGACCCCCGGGGCAGGGCCAATTTTGACCCCAGGTCTTTTATTTGAACAAAGTTTGTAGACACTCACTAAAAGATGTTTCATGCTTAATATCTTAACTCTAGCTATTTGGGTTTTTTCAAAGAAGATTTTTTAAGTTTTTGCTATACACATATAAGGAAAATCAATGACCCCCTGGGGTGGTGCAAATTTTGACCCCAGGACTTTTATTTGAACAAACTTGGTAGACACTTATTAGAACATGTTTCATGCTAAATATCTTAGCTCTAACTCTTTTGGTTCTTTAAAAGAAGATTTTTAAGTTTTTACTATATGCATATAGGGAAAATCAATGACCCCCCGGGGCCGGGCCAATTTTGACCCCAGGGCTTTTATTTGAACAAACTTGGTAAACACTTATTAGAACATGTTTCATGCTAAATATCTTAGCTCTAACTCTTTTGGTTCTTTAAAAGAAGATTTTTTAAGTTTTTACTATATGCATATCGGGAAAATCAATGACCCCCTGGGGCGGGGCCAATTTTGACCCCAGGGCTTTTATTTGAACAAAATTGGTAGACACCTATTAGAACATGTTTGATGCTCAATATCTTAGCCATAGCTCTTTTAGTTCTTTAAAAGAAGATTTTTTAAGTTTTTATACCCCCAAAAACGAAGTTTGGGGGGGGGGGGTATATAGGAGTCACCCGGTGGTCGGTTGGTCGGTCGGTCGGTCCAGACGTCCGTTGCATTTTCCTTGTCCGGACCATAACTTGAAGACTAATGGTTGGAATTCAATATAACTACATACAATGGTCAAGCACATTGAGAGGAAGTGCAGTGCACAAGAACCATAACTCTATCTAAAGTAATTACAGAGTTATTGCCCTTTGTTACTTTTCCATTGCTTTCTTTTGTCCGGAACTAACTTGAAGACTAATCTTCAATATAACTACATACAATGGTCACAGAGTTAGTTGAACCCTATCTTTAATTACAGAGTTATTGTTACTTTTTCCTTGTCCGGGGCATAACTTACTGGTTGAAATTCCAACTTCATACAATTGTCAAACACAATAAGGGCATAACTTGAAAATTACTGGTTGGAATTCAAAACAACTTCATACAATTGTCAAAACACAAAACAACTTCATACAATTGTCAAACACAGTAAGGGGAAGTGCAGTGCATAAGAACCATAACTCTATCTAAAGTAATTACAGAGTTATTGCCCTTTGTTACTTTTCCATTGCTTTCTTTTGTTCGGAGTATAACTTGAAGACTAATTGTTGGAATTCATTATAACTTCATACAATGGTCAAGCACATTGAGAGGAAGTGCAGTGCACAGGAACCATAACTCCATCTTGACTAATTACAGAGTTACTGCCCTTTGTTACTTTTCCATTGCTTTTTTTTTGTCCGGAGCATAACTTGAAGACTAATGGTTGGAATTCAATATAACTTCGTACAATGGTTAAGCACATTGAAAGGAAGTGCAGTGCACAAGAACCATAGACTCCATCTTGACAAATTACAGAGTTATTGCCCTTTGTTACTTTTCCTTGTCCAGAGCATAACTTGAAAACTACTGTTTGGATTTCAATACAACTTCATACAGTTGTCAAGGACATTGAAAGGAAGTGCAGTGCATAAGAGCCACAACTCCATTTTGATAAAATACAGAGTTACTGCCCTTTGATACTTTTCCTTGTCTGGAGCATAACTTAAAACGTACTGGTTGAAATTCAAAACAACTTCATACAATGGTCAAGCACAAAAAGAGGAAGTGCAGTGCACAAGAACTATAACTACATCTTCAGTATTTATAGAGTTATTGCCCTTTGTTCCTTTTCTTTCTCTTTCTGGACTTATTACAGAGTAATTCAATAAAACTTCATCAATGGCCAACCACATTGAAAGGAAATGCAATATACAAGAACCACAACTATCTTTAATTGCCCACAACCATAACTCTATATTTCAATTCTTTTACAAGGTATTCTGTTACTAGTTACATCCTCATTTCCGAAGCAGTCTTGTGGGGGTATTAATCACATTTAGTGATAGTTCTAGTTACTATATGCATATAGGGAAAATCAATGACCCCCCGGGGCGGGGCCAATTTTGACCCCAGGGCTTTTATTTGAACAAACTTGGTAGACACCCATTAGAACATGTTTGATGCTAAATATCTTAGTTCTAGCTCTTTGGGTTCTTTAAAAGAAGTTTTTTTTAAGTTTTTACTATATGCATATAGGGAAAATCAATGACCCCCCGGGGCGGGGCCAATTTTGACCCCAGGGCTTTTATTTGAACAAACTTGGTAGACACTCACTAGAAGATGTTTCATGCCATATATCTAAGCTCTAGCTCTTATGGTTTTTTAAAAGAAGATATTTAAAGTTTTTTCTTTCGGTTGCCATGGCAACCAGAGTTCTGCATTGAATTAAATTCTTTGAACAATTTTTAAAGGTGACCACCAAAGGAACATTCCTGTGAAGTTTGGATGAAATTGGCTTAGTGGTTTATGAGGAGATGTCATTTAAAGTAAAAGTTTACGGACAGACGGACACCGGACGGACGCCGGACGAAAAGCGATCACAAAAGCTCACCCTGTCACTTTGTGACAGGTGAGCTAAAAATGCTCGTTGGCAATTTACAAAGGAAATATTTCCTATATAGAAAATCAAAATTTGAACATTTCTGACTGAATCTCACTTCCAATATCTAAGCCAAAATATTTCTATATTTATGACACAAACTCAACTGTAACCATTTTGTTTCAATTCTATAAATAATAGAATTAATCCACTTGAGATTGGGTATAAACAATACTGTACCATTCAGTACAGTTTGTTCATATCATCGTATATTGTGAACCATATTGAAATTAAATTAAACAATATACTATTTAATTGTTACACCCCTAATATTTCAATGCTTAAAGGGAAAAAAAATAAGTACAAAATATAAGCCAAAATGTTACATACTTTTTAGCCAATTCACACTCTAATTTGTTGAGGGAGTTGTAAATTTCGGTGTTTCCAGTCCTCCAATCTGCTCTTTCTAGATACTTAGTAACTTGCATTGCTGCACACTCATTTCCACGTCTAAAGTTGAACAGAGTAATTTTTGTTAGTAAATAATTTGCAAATGCTCGCCAATTTTGCTTTCCTGGTTCACTCAACAAATCTTTCTCAGCGTCTTTCATCTTTTTGTCTAAGAAAGTTTGTAATTTCACTAAATCTTCAGTGAGGGGTAAAAGCTGTTTTTTGTTGAACCTTCTTTCCACTGAAGTTTGGTGTGCTATACTTCCAATTTTAGTTGACCACTGTTTCGAGTACAAGTATTAAAAGTCTGCGACATCTTTCCTTCTTTCCATGTCTCTATCCACAACCAGTCTTCCTTCGATCATTTCTGCGAACTTACTAATCAATTGTCCAGTTTTCTTTGCTAATTCTGGTTTTGAGAACATTATAACGCCATTAAGACTTCTCTCATCACTGACACCCACTGTCCTACGTACTGCTTCAACCAAAGCATCAAATTTATCAGGTGCTAAAAAATTTGACAATTCAGTGCTGTCATCATTGCAGATTGATCTTAATTCTTCTTTGATTCTTTCTAGAAGTCGCATCCTGTATCTGACTTCCCCAGCTCTTCTTCGGCCAAGTCTTTCAAATTGCGTCCTGCCAAACATTAAGATGCCAGAATAATTTTTGACCCGCTTTCCAATCGCATCATCTTGCAGTGCTTGTAACACGTGAACATAGAACTCTTCTCTTTCTGTATCTTGCCCATTCTCCTTTGCTAATCTGACTCCTGCCCCATAGAGTATTCGCATTCCCGAAGCTACCATCTTACTCTGTACCTTAACTTCTTCATTTAAGGTAACTGTTTCTGAACAAAGAGGATCCGGTGAAAACTTGCACCTTTGCCCATGTCTCCAAAGATCGCCTTTTACATAGAACCTTAGACAATGTTTGCAGGGAAGGTAGTCTGCTTTTACATGCACTCCTTTTTCTGGTCTTCGAGAAACTATGAGTTCCCTTCTGTCACATGGATTTTTGAGTACTTCAATGTTATACAGAAAGTCACCTTCATTCCTGAGTGCATCCAAAGTTCGTTCTCTGTCTATCTGAGTGTTTTTCTTTATTTTTGATGGGGCTGGCAACTGAGCAATTTCCTTTTCATCTTTATGTTTACTGCACAGATGTCAACTTATTTTCAAATCAAGTTTACCACAATAGACACAAGCATGAACTTTAGAATAGTCATGTTTCCCCTTCCGATCAAATTTTGTGTTGACTGTCATCACTTGGTCATGTCGAATACCTAAAGTGTAAATAAAATAATCCCTGTCTTATACTTAGTTTACAGAGAGTACATCACTTAACTAGAATTGTCACTGAATGTGACTAATACCCCCGCACGCTACTTGACTCAGGACAAAATTTCACAAAGTTCAAGGGAAAATAACTAAACTTCAGGTGATCAAATTTTTCCAAAAAAATGTGTCATGCACAACTCCAATCCATCAACAATGCATATACAAAATTTAAAAACATTTGCTTGAAAACTGTAAGAGTAGTTTGAGCCACAAGATTCCACATCAATACCTTTGAAATGAGTAGAAAATGACTAAGTTCCAAGGGTCATAATTCTAGAATAAATGGAAATTGGGTCATGAAAAATATGTCTTGACATCTTCCTTCCATCAACAATGCATATACAAAATTTGAAAACATTTGCTTGAAAAGCGTAAGAGTAGTTTGAGCCACAAGATTCCACATCATTTTAGGACAGACCAACCAACCAACCCAACCAAGCACCAGGGTGATTCCAGTATACCCCCGAAAACTTCGTTTGCCCGTGTATAATAAGTGTTGTATAAAACCATTTCATACTTTGTCCTTACACTAACTAGATTCATATATAAAGATGCAGAGATGTTGTAATTACATAATGAATATTAATGAAAAAAACGTACATGAACAAATTTTTCTTGTGAAAACCTTCAATACCAAAAATGGCAGAGAATTTTTTAGAAAGATTTTTGCCTTGCAATTTCATCACAAAAGCTGGTAAAGTTAAGTCTCACTATTAACACCACTTTCTGAGTCTGTGAGAAGTGATCTTATTACCAGGTCAATCTTAATTTTGAGACCCATTCCATCTCCAAAATTCATATCTTTGGCATTTCTTTAACTCATAATTGACCATGTCAGCTACATGAGCAACAAAAATCTTGTAAAATGACAAGAAATATGTAATTATGCTAGTTATGTTAAGGCACCACAAAAGCACTAGTTATTGTCACAATCTTTAATACTTATTTTACTTATGTGTCATTAAGTGTATAGATAAAAGAGTGTACATCCTGTTTGCAATAGAAATGTAGCAGGTTAGCTGTGATTTTCTAGTCTAGCGACCATTTACTTGTGTATGAAAAAATTGGGATTTTTAAAAGTAAGTAAGGGTCTATTGTAAAGCAAGACTTTTCTGTAACCATTTTTCCCAGAAATACACACACAACATTATGATTGGCTTTGTAAAAGTCACAATATTCTTTCCTTTTACCAACAAAACATAATGAATCCATAACCTATTATCATACATGTATACCTAAAAAATAACATAAAAAATGCAAATCTGACTTGAAAACTAAGATTCCATTTCATACCTTCATTCTCCTCTCCTCCTGTGGTAGAGTCAGCATTTCCTAACCTAAAATTTTCAACCTCCTGAAATAGTTTCAAGAACATTTTCAATTTATAAAATTACAGAAAATCTAAACTGAACAGGACTAGTACATATCTCAAGCAATATCAAATATTATTTCAACTCACAGCCTCTTTTTAATGAAAATGTCTGTCAAATGTTTATGCAACCCTCATAAAAAATTCAGAAGTTGCATGCAACTTTTTGCTAATATTAAACAACAGGGCCATGATGGCCCAAATCGCTCACCTGTCTCTAAAGGCCATGTATGACCCTGTCATCTTGACCTTTGATTGACTGACCTTGATTGTACTAGTTGAGGGCAACCATTGTTTGTTGCTTTACATCCAAATGATTCTTTTAATTAAATGAATTGACAACTTTTCATTTTAAATATGTTCTTGATCTGCAGGCCCAGAGATTGCTTTGACAACAATGTTGCACAATGCAGTTAAATTGATTAGCCAATATAAGTTATGGGACTTGTGGCAATTACGCAAGGTAATCACAGTGAACAGGTATGTAAAGTTTCAATACATTCCCTGCAGTGGTAATGGAGATTCTAGCACGAACACAAAAACTTAACATCAGGGGCGCTGATGCTGACCAATGGGTGACTACATAGGCATGAATGCTCTTCAAAAAGTTGAGCTAAAAATACATTGAGCAATTTGTAAGGAGAGTATCAAAGGATCAGTGAAAATTTCTTACCTGGAAAGGTATTATCTCAGATTCATCAGACTCTGAACCAGGAACAAAGTTATCCTGCAAAGTAGCAAATTAAGAAAAAAAGTTTACATAAATAAATTAAATACAACACCAAATCTTAAATATCAAGCTTAACATTATTAGTTTAGAGAACTTAATCTGTTAATAGCGTTTCGTTTTGTGATGAAGTTTTTTAAACAGATTGATTGATTGATATGTCTTTGACATAAGCTCAACTTAAGTAATTAAATGGAAGTTTGTCACATACATCATACAATTATTACTTAATTCTTACAGACTGCTAATCATGTTGAGTCAAGCAAAACTACAAGTTGTCACAAAGCTGAATACAATAGACCGACCAACCACCAGCTGACTCCAAGATACCCCTTAAACTTCATTTGTCGGGGTATAAAAACAAGTATTATGACTAATGATTTAGACTATTCCATGATCCCTTCACTGATCTTATTCTGAATTTTCCAAATGTATATTAATGTTTATACCATTAAATGTACAGTATATGGTGGCTCAAGTTCATCTTGCAGTTCAGTATCTTGGGTGTCACCATCTCTTTCGCCTGTAAAACATTATTCTAACCTGGTATATGGCATAAATGTTACAGGATATCAAAGTTTCAAAATAGTTATAAAATTTTCAAACTATCCCCCTCCCTTTATTTGACTTGTGTGTTCAATTAATATTATCTAGAAATTCAGAGCTTAACAGTTCTATTTCAAATCTACAAAAGTAAAAAAATGTATATTCTCTCTTTCAAAAATATGCTTTTTAAGAAACTGAATGAGGACAAAACCCTACCTTACATAAATTAAAAGAAATTTATAAGAACAAAGAAGATACAGAAACAAGTTAGTTATTTATGAAATCAATCTTGATTTTGAGAGTTTTGGAAAGTAATATTGCATGGTTTTAGTTCAGATGCGTAGTAATATAATCACAAAGGCCAAAGGCCTGAGTGATTAATTACAAGCATCTGAACTAAATACCATGTATTATTACTTTGCAAAACTCGATAAATAAAAGATCAATTTCAATTCTAATCTTCACTGCAGTAATCTAAAAGAGGAATTAAATTATGAATGGACTAGTTTATTTGGCGCATCAGAGTTACCCTTTTTTGCTAAAGGTAATTTGCATATATTTGCGGCTGTTCCAGTCTATGTCGATATATTGTTGTATCAATGGAGAAAGTCGACTGAATAGAACTAAAACCGTACATTTACACATTTATTTATTTAAAATTGTTCAGATCTACATGATCACATATATCTAAAGCAAAAATATTCCGGAAAACATCCGACGACAATCAACATTTTTTCATGAAACTGACAACCTGACAAGTAGGTCAAGCACGTGGAAAACAAAAACAATGTGATCTATTTTTACTGTATGGATAAAACCCTGTTTTCCGGTATCCGGAGTTGCTCATGAAGCATGCGCAAAGCACAGATAAGTGGAATTATACGCGGGAGGGCATTTCAACAGCCTGTGAGTTTAAGACGAAATTATAAAATGACACGGACACTCTTTGTTTATGTTGGGAAAAGCGTGTGCTGTGTTAGAAGTATAAATATAAATGTTTGCTTGACTTTTCTTTCACCAATCAATACCTCATTGTATATAACATTTTTGCAACGTGTATGATATTTTATTCAAACAGGGAATGTTAATAAAAGTGAAGATGGTCATTAGTCCTGGGTTATAATTAAACTTATGTTCAAACTCAGAATTTGAAAAAAGTAGGATTTACACCTTTTGTGTAACAATTACATATTTTAGATGGTTTATTTGCTTAAAAGTGTTTTTTTTTTTCATTGCAGAATAAGTTCCACGTAAAACAAAAACAATAGGTTAGAGCAAAGGATAAGACATAACCAGGATAAACAAAAAACATACAACAGTCTGCTTGAATTTAAATATATAGTCCTAGGATGAACCAAAGTCACAAAAACTTCAAAATCAAAAAAATTGACAGACGACAGAATGACGACAGACATTCATGGATCCTAAAAGCTCACCTGAGCACTACGTGCTCCGGTGAGCTAAAATGTTAGTATTATGTGCCAAGTCAATTTGCTAGTACAATATGACATTTATTATTTTTCAAAACAAGTTACCTTTTTCAAGTTTCCATTTAAATGCCCTTCCTCCGACTTCAAACATATCATTGTCCTGCAGTCTTTTAACATGATGTGTGCATGAATCAACCAAAAAAATCTGAAAAGAACAAAAAGTAGAAACTTTGATTTGTAGAGACTAACATTAAATGCTCAAATTTCCCTAAAATGATATGCCTGAAGTGAAACAAGTTTGTTGTCAATTTATCACTGCTTTCTGTAGTCAGAGATTCATTAAAACTCACAGTGGCTGAGATGAATTAACTCTATATTAAAATGTTCAATATGTGTATACATTTATATCCCTCAGTCTTACTGGCTGGTAAGAACAAGATTATAATAGTTCTAAACTTACTTATAATTGGTTACGAAAACAATTAATCACTTTGTGTGGCTGTGTGGCCAAGTGATAAACATGTCACACTAGGATCATTGCTAAGTACTGGTTGGTTTCAGGAATGGATTAAAGGGTGCCTTTATAAGCTTATAGTTTCAAAAACAATTGAAAGATAAATTCTGTGTGAACAATCATTTTTTTCAATTGTCTTAAAAACTCAAGAAAATATTTATTCATTACCTGGCCAAGCTGATTTACTTCTATGAGTTTCTCATGGGCTGTAGCATTTTTCACAATTATGTCATTAGACTTTGCACTGAAATACATGAACAAAACTTTTTAACTTTGTATGAAGAATGTATCATATGTAGATGTCATTACGAATACTTCTCCTGAAGGACAATCATTGAGATTTAAATCTAAATAAGATTTTAGTATAAGTCTTAAAATAGCACCATTTTATTACACCAGACTGAAAATAAAAATGTGGCCATCGGACAAGAATGCCCACTCATTAATGGCTAAACTATTACTAAATAAAGCAATATTCTTTGAAAGCAAATACACTCTGAATCATAAATGAAAGTAACTTGACGACAACTATAAATAAGAGACCAACTAGTAAAGACATGAATCAAACTTTCATTTCTTCATGCATAAGTCGAGACTTTTGCTGCTTTACAAATGGTAATCTGGGTTGCCTTCATGCTTTGTTTATATTTTAATTATTTTAACCAACAGTCGATTAAATCTATATGCGGCACACAAACCACATTATGTTTATTTTTATTTCTATTTTTTAACAAATACTTGAATTTCAGCTGCATAACTAACAGACCCTTTTATTCTGTATTGAATTTTTGAAAATGTCTATATGTTAATCAAAATGGTCAAGATACAATGCCTTTTCATTAACCCTTTCGCTGCCAGAGGGTTATTGTTTTATTGATCACCTATTTAGAAAATAACAGGGACGGCATATGGCAGTGAAAGGGTTAATATTGTGACCCACACCCATAATGATTATTCATTCTAAGACTTGCATAGCCTATGGCAGTAAAAAGTTGATGTACTCTGCTCAAGTTAGTTTCTGGTGGTACGAAAGTCTAATGGAGAGAAATTCTTCAGTGAATTAAAACATAGGTGAGGAGCATTATATAAAAAGAGAAGTTTTGTTTTAAAACTTACCTGCCCCAACATATATATTTTCTCTATTCAAGTCTTCTAATGGTGCTGGTGCATCAGTAATATCTTCTCCATAAAGATCTGAAATGAAATTCAGAATCTATGCAAAAATGAGTGAAATAGTAATTTTTGTACCTACTTCATGAAGCATGGACACAGGAACTGTATTATTTTACTTGTTTAATATATATATATATATATATATATATGTTTGGTACTGTTCTACATTTCATGAGAAAAAGTGGTAGGCAAATTTAACCATGTGCATAAAAGCATTCTAGAGTAATAGCGAACAATATAGAAATGTACCAAATACATCCCACCCTCCTTCCATCCATCCAGAAAAGTAAAACACATTGTCTCATCTTCGTGAGGAAGCCATAATTTTACAGACCACACCCAAAATGTTTGTGTATAATTCGGGCTAAAGCCAAGTTTGTAAGGCACATCAGTTAGATTAAGCAATAACTGTTTTTAAGCAGATACATGTTTGTGCATGTATTATGAATAACATGGAATAACTTATTTGGCTCTTAAGTCATTAGGCTGATTTGATGAAAAAGTGAAGTGACTGAACAGACAAAAAAGTGCAATTTTATTTTATTATAAGGCAATAACTCTTGATCACAACACCAATTTGGACTAAACCTACTTATGCATCCTCACACAGTCGCAATACAAATATCTATCTATTACGTTTCATGAAATTCAGTCTGATCAGCAATGTGGACATACAATCAGAAAATGAAAGAGACTGGTGAATGGACAGTGCTAAAACTATTTGCCTCCCCTTGAGTGCCTACAACCTTTTAAAAGGGCAGCAATGACAATGGTCAGTTTGTCTGAAAAGTGGTTTTGTCTGTCTTATGAAATTAACCTTTCGCTGTCAGAGGATTATTGTTTTATTGATCACCTATTTGCAAGAGGGTTTTCTAAGAAATTTCTATATTAGTAATTAATATAATTATTATTATTTGTTATTAGTATTATAATAATTATATGTTTCCAAATCTGCGAGTATAATAATAATTATTGTCGATGGTATAATTTTCTTTATATCTATTATTATTTTTATTATTATTATTATTAATTTATTATTATTACTATTATTATTATAGAAACGGCTAAAAGCAGTCCATATGGCAAATACGCCGAAAATAACAGGGACGGCATTAGGGACGCCGTCCTATGGCAGGGAAAGGGTTAATATTGTGACCCACACCCATAATGATTATTCATTCTAAGACTTGCATAGCCTATGGCAGTAAAAAGTTTGATGTACTCTGCTCAAGTTAGTTTCTGGTGGTACGAAAGTCTAATGGAGAGAAATTCTTCAGTGAATTAAAACATAGGTGAGGAGCATTATATAAAAAGAGAAGTTTTGTTTTAAAACTTACCTGCCCCAACATATATATTTTCTCTATTCAAGTCTTCTAATGGTGCTGGTGCATCAGTAATATCTTCTCCATAAAGATATGAAATGAAATTCAGAATCTATGCAAAAATGAGTGAAATAGTAATTTTTGTACCTACTTCATGAAGCATGGACACAGGAACTGTATTATTTTACTTGTTTAATATATATATATATATATATGTTTGGTACTGTTCTACATTTCATGAGAAAAAGTGGTAGGCAAATTTAACCATGTGCATAAAAGCATTCTAGAGTAATAGCGAACAATATAGAAATGTACCAAATACATCCCACCCTCCTTCCATCCATCCAGAAAGTAAAACACATTGTCTCATCTTCGTGAGGAAGCCATAATTTTACAGACCACACCCAAAATGTTTGTGTATAATTCGGGCTAAAGCCAAGTTTGTAAGGCACATCAGTTAGATTAAGCAATAACTGTATTTAAGCAGATACATGTTTGTGCATGTATTATGAATAACATGGAATAACTTATTTGGCTCTTAAGTCATTAGGCTGATTTGATGAAAAAGTGAAGTGACTGAACAGACAAAAAAGTGCAATTTTATTTTATTATAAGGCAATAACTCTTGATCACAACACCAATTTGGACTAAACCTACTTATGCATCCTCACACAGTCGCAATACAAATATCTATCTATTACGTTTCATGAAATTCAGTCTGATCAGCAATGTGGACATACAATCAGAAAATGAAAGAGACTGGTGAATGGACAGTGCTAAAACTATTTGCCTCCCCTTGAGTGCTACAACCTTTTAAAAGGGCAGCAATGACAATGGTCAGTTTGTCTGAAAAGTGGTTTGGTCTGTCTTATGAAATTAACCTTTCGCTGTCAGAGGATTATTGTTTTATTGATCACCTATTTGCAAGAGGCGTTTTCTAAGAAATTTCTATATTAGTAATTAATATAATTATTACTTTTTGTTATTAGTATTATAATAATTATATATGTTTCCAAATCTGTGAGTATAATAATAATTATTGTCGATGGTATAATTTTCTTTATATCTATTATTATTTTTATTATTATTATTATTAATTTATTATTATTACTATTATTATTATAGAAACGGCTAAAGCAGTCCATATGGCAAATACGCCGAAAATAACAGGGACGGCATTAGGGACGCCGTCCCTATGGCAGGGAAAGGGTTAAAAAAGAGATATAAACTAGAAATTAAATGTCATCCTGACTTATAAAGGTGTAACTATCAAAAACTAAATTAACAGAAAAAAACTCAGTCAGACTTAAATCTCAGCTATGGGATCAGATATTGGAACATATAAATTTTGCAAAAAAGAACTTGTTTTAAAACTTTCAGGCACTTACTAAACCGCTAGCGGGTTAACTCTATATATATATAGGAATACCTACATATATACTACATATGTAAAAACACGTGAAAAAAAGGGAAAGGCAGGCAAATGCTACAGAAAACTTATAAGGGGATTAATGGTAAAAAACCCTTTTGTTTCAAACCTTTTTGCCATCCTTTCAGTTCTTCTGCATTGTATGCACAAAAAAGACACAAACTACTAACTATTTTACTGACTTTTTCACAACAGCAGCATGATCCTTTAGGTAAATTTAGGTCTGACTGTATTTAAAGGGTAACAAACAATTTTTCAAAATTACTTGGACAGGAATATAAAATAGGCCTAGTATCTCCATCCTAAAAATGAAGGAAAAACTCAGTTTGAGATGTACAGCTTGGAACCTGTTCAACTTAGGGGCATTTTTAAACCTTATAAAATAGTGACCTAGTATAATGCAAAATTTTACAAAGTATTGTCTTAACAATAATAACCAATGTTGCTTGATACTTCTGTAAGTACTTGCACATTCAAATCACTCTGTAAAAGATTAACCTGTCTCACTCGAGGTGATTTCCCTAACTGCCAAAAATATTTTATCTAGAATTTTGCATGGATGTGAAAATACCACCCATGTTAACATTTAGCAGAGCAACAGATAAGATGCGTATTTGCATATTTACACAATTAATTTTATAAAATACGCAATTGTTTTTTTGAGAATGCTTATCAAAACCCATTAAAGAAAATAAAATAAGCAATTGTCTTAAAAACCCCTGCGTATTTTCATTTTCATCACCACAAAATTAATCTGTCGTACGCTCGTAGTTTTGGACAAATTATATCGATATGCATGCTATCCGAATATTCCCGAATCAATGCAAACTAATCAACAGTCTCCGGTCTTCGACAGTCCCGGTCTCCAAAGACCGACTAAGCCATATCTATAAAGCATGAGACCGTTGATTTGTCCACTAAGGTCGACAGTCTTTACAGACCGGCAGAGACATTTGATTTTGAGAGACCATCAATAAGTAGGTCCCAGCTGTATCAATAGACGCTTTGAAAGTAATATGGCATTGTACAAAAAGGGAAGATGATTTGTAACAATACGGTCGTAAATAATAAACAACATGAGCATTTAAAATAAAAAATAAAACAATTGTGAAAAGTTCTAGTAAATTGTTAATCCTATTTTCTTTTTAAAACAGTTCAAATTTCATTGATATTAAAACCATAAAATTCATATCTTCATAATTAAATACCCAATTGATCTTGAAATCATAGGGTATCGAATTTTGGAATACCTAATTAAATGGAGCCAATACCCAATTCCAAAGGAAATGATGGAGTAATACCCAATTCACTTTTAAAGCTTATCTGTTGCTCTGTTTAGCATTCCTGGTAAAGCTTTGTAAATGACCAGAAATCCACATAATATTACTGTAAAACACTTATTTTTCGCGAGAACCTTATTTCGCGAATTTGAGGCAAAATGTCAAAAATAATTATTTCGCGTCAACATAAATTTCAGGGCTCATCCTGGGGGGAAATTTTAGGGAGAAGTGACTTCCTCGCGAAAAAAAAGGGAGAAGGGAAACAACCCAATGTGTATGCATTAACATGCATGGCTATACATCCTTTAACTATAATATAAACACAATTAATCTATTTATCAGCTATTTATAAGCTTTCTCTAAATATTTGTTTATATATTTTCATGTAGATTTATTGATAATAATGTGTAAGAAAAAGTATGATAAATAAATTAATTTTATGTTATTACATGTACTTTCCTCACTTTTAATAGAAGATACAGTTACATTGGATATTGCTTAACAATATCTGTCTGTTCTGTTAGAATGATTACTGAAATTCTTTTATGATCTTGTCTGTTGTAATGTCACTTTTATGTGCATATAATTATGCTTATAAAACAATTTTCAAACATCGAAGAATATGTAAAATATATACTGCAAACATTTGTGCACATTATATTTGATCACTAAAATTATATACATTCATTTCTTATTGAAAAATTTGACTGAGAAATTATAAAAAATAAATTTCTAATTACCTCCCTTTATTTTCATGAAATGTTTAACTGTAATATCTTTATAAATAATGCTTTTTGAAATTTACAATATTGATAAATCTTAATCTGAGCATCATATTTATAACATTAAAACAAATATATATATTGAAACTATAAGAACACTCCTTTCCTGACAAATTTTGTTGTTATATACATGTACACATGATATATGACCGATATGTAGCATGCCGATCATGATTCGTAGTTTTTCCGAGATGTCGTGCCCACGTGCGTAAGCTGTGTCAAATTTGGCATTTTTTCAAAGATAGCAATGTCAAACACTCTCACTGTCTACAACATATCAATCGTAAGATTTTTGCGAATTGGCTTTCTTAAATTTTCGCGTAGGTGTATCAGAATCAGCAACTTTCTTTTACTGCTAGGTTTGGGCATTTCGCCCTGTAGCCATGATGTGAGCGACATAACAATTTTTAATTCATGTTGAAGGACTGAAATCATTCAAAACTATGTTTAAGTTTTTAATCCGGTGGCTGATCATTAATGAAATTGATTATTTTTAATTGACTAACAGTGTTGTGATAGCCGTGGTTAAACACCGCGTGTATATTAATTAGGGAAGATATGCACGTGTTTAGATGATCGGGGAAAAAACAATCTATAATTATCGCCTAATCCCGTATTAAACTCGCAAAACTGCCCGTTTCGGGCCGATGCTCTCATTATTTACTGTTTAGAGTAGGCGGTCTATCGCTTTGCATACAGGTAGAAGGGTAGTATAAAGCGACGCTCTGATTGGATAATGATAATTAGCAGTCGTCGTATGGGCGGATACATTCTCTGCTCTTTACATCGCCAAGTAATTAGTCTTTGGGAATTAAGATTTTATCGGCGATGTTGACTTCTCTTTGATCATTTGGGAGAGCGAAATAGAAATATACACGGCGAAGTTTTCGCCTGAATCGCCCTTCCGGATGAGCCCTGAATTTGTGTCTTCCCGAAAAATGTGAAACAGGAAACCTGATGTCATTCGGATAATTTCTGTCCTGTCCGTTCACTTACTTTGCATTGTTTATTGTACGACGAATGCATTTATATCTGTATCAATATTTCTGATAGCTTGCTAATCTTCTTGTTAAGTGAAACCGTCTGTCTAAAAATATGTCAATAAAGTTTGATAATTATTTGATATGTGTTCACTGTGTTTGTCAAAGTTTAAAGTTTCACTGATTAGCCATTCAAAGGCAAGCAGACGAAAATCAATTAAACGGTACTGTAATTTGCCTAACCTGTAGTAAACAATTATGTTTACCCTCCGGCTTAAACTGTAGTACAATACTATAGGATACAACAAGAAAAGCATTGATGCAAAGCATCAAAGGGCGACGCCAAAAGAATTTGATCCAGGTTTGCACCTAAATACTTAACAAAAGATGTGTACTTTATAGCAGTACCATTTCATGTGACCTGGAGGCTTGGCCCAGTTTATGTTGAAACTTAATTAAACCAAAAAGAATAGACTCTGTCTTGCCAAGATGCAAAGACAATTTATAGTCAATAAACCAATCTTAAGATTTACTTTACCAGATACAAGGATACCTGAGTCATCATCATATAATGACAGGCACAAGTATCACACCTGGGAAGAAAAAATATGACCAGATTAATAAAAAATCTGTGTTCATCTTAAAAGTGTCAAAAACCAAAAAAGAAATGTAAATAATGACCCCCTTTAAAAATATACTATTAACTTAAAGTATATTTTTAAAGGGGGTCATCATTTACATTTTTTTTGGTTTGTGACACTTTAAAGATGAACACAGGTTTTTTATCAATCTGGTAATATTTTTTCTTCCCAGGTCTGATACTTGTGCCTGTGCATATAATAAAAGCTTATTGCTTAGGGTTGCAGACATGTCATACATAAAAGAGGACCTAAAATGAACATCAGGGGGACACCATAGGTATTCAGAGAGAAGGAGTACCAGCCACATTCACCAGCTGCTATCATAGATAAGACTTGAACCATGCAAGAATGTCATTACATATGGCAGATGCTTGAAGAGATGAAGAAGAAGAAAAAAGAACTTCTTCATGTGCAGTTTAGTGTGATCAACTGAACCAAATGCTTTTTGTAGATTTAAAAGTATCAAGCAAAACTGCCTTTGTCCATTTCAAATTAAATGCAATCTATTAAATGAATCAAACATGTGTCAGTTGAAAAACCACTTCTAAACCCTGACTGAAACTGCCTGATCATGACTCGAACCCATGACTTTCAGAAGACCAACTGAGCTATCCGGCCGGCTACACATTTTCTCTTTAATAATGAAACAGTTCTAAACCTAAACCTTTTTCCCCCACTATATTGATTCATGTACTTGAATTTCTGATGTTTACAGAGCATAGTGAATTAAACTCATGGTTATTTGCAGTAACAGGATGAGAAAAACTTTCAGCTTGACCAGAACTCAAACCTGTGACCCACAGAATAATGTACCGCAGCTGTAGCGATTGAGCTATCTGGTCGCTTACACATTTTCTCCCCTAAATAGTGAACAGTTCTAAACCGTGACATATATTTAGATTTTTAAATTAACAGATAATTAATTCTTAATTAATAAATAAGAAAAAAAACCTTACATACTCATAGTCTTAATTAAAATAACAATTTATATAATTATTATTGTATATTTATTTTTACTAAAATGGGCTAAGACAGTTATTGGTTGTGCCATTATTTATAACAGGTCAATTTGAAAGAGAATATAACTGTGCTAATACATGTACAATATCTATGATAAGAAATTTTATGAAGGCTGATTTGTATTTTACATCAAGGGCACCGGGCAAAAACATGAAAATGCAACAAACGAACCACTTTGTGGTAGATTGTATTTTCATGTTTTCATCTGGCGCCCGGTTACTTTTTGTACTTTGTTGGTTTTCATGTGGCACAAATCACCCACTATAAAATTTAGTGTACAAATTTATTCAAGGACAAGTATCAATCTACTCTATGAAAAGTCTGTTGTCGGGTTGACTCAGGAGACCTGGAGATTGAGACCGGTGTCCCTCCATTACAAATAGATAAGGCAGAAGCTGTCCTTTTCAAACTATGCACATGTTAGAAAAAAATTAGAATAACTATTCAGAACATGATTTTTTGAGGCTTTATCAATTATATTGCTTGATCCAAGTTTCAGGACATTTTCAATCAATACATGTATTATCATTTATAACTTTAAATGAAAGTCTCATCTTTTTAATAATAATGACATAACTGCAACTCTTTAAATTCAGAAATATTATAAGTCTCATCATACCAATATACTAAGATATAAATGTATGCACATAACATTAATAATTCCAAGTTTCTATTAAATAAATATGAAATATTGGGTATATAAAGCCAGTAAAAGTATATATATATCAATATTCACTCATCAGGGCCTCTATGCTTTTGATGACCTTACAACTGGTAAATTTTATAAAACAAAAATTGTAATCAATACCTAAGATAGACAGAAAAGAACAAATAATTTAGTAAACATGAGTTACTTCCACTTGAAATAAAGAAAACATGAAACCCAAAAGAACACCCTAAACATCAAAATTAATAAATGTTGCAGGCTCATTTTAATTATGCCATGCAAATTAATGGTAAAGTATTCATAAAAAAGTAGATGGCCATGTGACAGCAGTAATTGCAGAAAATCGGATAGCTGTCAACATCCGGATACTGGTACACTTTGTAAAAACAACCATTCTGTTCAACAGATAAACGTAATATGGATAAAATCAATAGGATAATCGTTTACAACAGTCCATTACCTATCCTAATACTCATTTGCAGGTGAACTTTCTTCTTGTAGGAAAGTTTTGAAAATATATAAATGAATGAGCATCAATGTAGACCACAACGATATTCGAAATCCGGGTTTTAGTATTGTCAATAAAACAAAGGGACAAGCTGTTAATCTGAGCCTGCAATTTCGTGAAAATAATATCACAATGCACATGCTTTTTATATAAAGTTATTAAATACAAATATAACAACATATTTGTTTACTTGATTTTTACGAATCAAAATAAATATAATTAACACAACATCAAATTAACTGCTAATAATAACAGCTCCTTCCATAGGCCAAAATAAAAAGTATTCCATAAAAGACGACGCCGCTCACCGGCGTCGCCAATAAATAGAAATGTTACAAACAACTCGCAAGTGCTAAAATATTTGTACCAAATACCAAAACAGTTATTCCGGTCAGTTATAGGCTGGGATTGTTCAATTGATAAATTGTGTTGGAAATTTAAGTTGGACAGATTTTCACATTAATTAGAACAATTTATAGAAATACCATTAAAATTTTGTGAGACGCATTAATTTGTTTATACTTGATTCTAGTGCAAGTCACAGTTACCTTCCTTGACACAGGTAATATGCAGCAAAGAAGTTTTTTTCAAATTCCTCAATAATACCAAATTGTTACAGGTAAATATTTCATACTAGTAATCTGTACGATATGTATATGCTGCAACACTTAATTAGCTATATGATGTAACTAGAACTGGTTTCAATACTTTCCCGCAGATATATATTCATGTGTACGCATTTTCGGATAGTGCTCATTTTTGGACAAGGGTATAGACAAAGTGAAATATTTGCGAGAAATATGAATTCGCGTCTTAGAAAACTCGCAATATTAGCAAAAATAAATTTCTCGCGAATAGTAAGTGTTTTACAGTATATGAATTACATAATCCAATTTAAAATTCATCTAAGCATGTTCTACCAATCCACTGGTTATCAGAGACATACCGAAAATCTACAGAAATTTCTCTAAATTGACAAGGCCAAATATTCCGAATATAGAAATGTGAAGGCACATGTAAACAATTTGAGCTTACTAGGTCAGTCATCTGTGCAAGATTACTTCACATCTACGGTATTTTACGCATGTTTAAATGAACCATCGTGCTTATAATGGATCAAAAAGATCTGTATCATAGCTTTGTGTTTCAAAAGGAAGAAATTTTGTTCCCAGACTGTTCGATTGTTTTCAGTTAAAATTGTTCATGAATTTATCTAGTAGTTGTCTCAATTTCACTGTAACAAATAAAATGTATAATTAGGTAAAAATTGTGCTGCAAGCATCAAATACCTTCAGTTTCCTCCATGGAAGGTCTTTTACTCCATCATCGTAGGTCAGTTGCTCACCTACAAAAATGTCTCTAACTGCATATAGCCATAACTTCACACCATTTTCAATTACTTTTTTCACCTTGCAGTTTGCCTTTTTTTGGCATTGGTCATTGACCATCCGACCCAGTCCATCCGAGAATGTGGCATCAATACTGAAATAAGATTACAGCAAGTATTTTAGAAGATGAATAGATAAGCAAGTGTTACCAAATATCCACAAAATTTTGTCCAGTGTATTGGCAAATTACACACTGAAAGACCTGGATGGTGGGTTTCAAAGATTTGATAAATACTAAGATCAGTCCTTAAGGCATTTTTGCTATATATTGCCTAATTCACAGGGATTTTTTTAAGGATTTTGGGAACATGACCCATACCCATGGAATTGGGAATTTCAGCGGTGTTTTGTTAAAATTGGGAAGAAATGTATGACTGAAATTTTACACTGATTAGATGGATGCATAATTACTGTCTAGGATGGCATCTTTAAACATATACGCACTATTACAGTGAAGGAGCCCTTATTTTCAAAGTTTTAGAATTTTTATTCAATATTGGGAAAATAATATACTATTTTCAATAGGGAATATGACCCAATAACGGCTATAAAATAAGCCAAAAAAATCCCTGTAATTCAGAAATCTTTAAAAGTAGAACAATTACTAGCAATAGCCACCAAGCCAATGGTAATATTACTACCATCAAATACACGTCAAGCAATAGAACAGTTACAATGTACAAGTAAGATTACAATCCAAATGATACTGAACATTTATGGTAAACCAACAGATGTCCCCCATATCATCAGCTCAACAGAGATAAATATATTGAGGGACATGTCCCCCAAACAAGGTTACAAACAATTATTGTAATAGTCCTATGGATATGAAAATGTGATGTTTTTCAATAAAATCATATTTAAAATGGGCATTAACATTTTCTAACAGAACAGTCAAAAATTAATTAAATTCAAACAATCTTACCAAGACATTTTCCCATTATGTTTAAAGTAATATTTAAACCCTGTCTCATCATCTTCTATATCAGATGTCAATATCCCCTTATATTCCAGCAGTGCTTCACCCTTTTCAATTCTTTGTCGTGCAAATACTCCATGACCTGTAAACAGGACAAGAACAATGATTAAAAAATTCCCATGTAAAATTCTCTACAAAGAAACACATCAGAATCTGCTAGTCACTGTACATAGCTTTTCTCAATAAATACATACAGTCTTAACTGCCCTAACGGTCGTCTCCGATTGATGGTCACCATTTAGTGGTCACTTTGTGACACACCAACGAATTTTCTTCAATTTTATCACTTTATTCAGTGGTCACCTACCGTCAGTTGCCTTCAAAAATACTTCCGACCGCATTTTCCTCCTGTTTAAATGGTCACTAACAACCAAAGTTGACACTTAATAATGCGAATATGCAGCAGACGAAATAAATCACCTTATTTGTCTGATAAGGGATGAAATCCCCCTTTGCGAGACTAAATTCACTAACTGATAAAAGTATCACTTACCAATATAAGTATTTATGAATTTTAATTCAAATTTATCTTCATCCACAGGGAAGTGAGTCAGTTTTTAGCTCACCTGTCACAAAGTGACAGGGTGAGCTTTTGTGATCGCTTTTCGTCCGGCGTCCGTCCATCGTCCGTCCGTAAACTTTTACTTTAAATGACATCTCCTCATAAACCACTAAGCCAATTTCATCCAAACTTCACAGGAATGTTCCTTTGGTGGTCACCTTTAAAAATTGTTCAAAGAATTTAATTCCATGCAGAACTCTGGTTGCCATGGCAACCAAAAGAAAAAACTTTAAATATCTTCTTTTAAAAAACCCAAAGAGCTAGAGCTTAGATATTTGGCATGAAACATCTTCTAGTGAGTGTCTACCAAGTTTGTTCAAATAAAAGCCCTGGGGTCAAAATTGGCCCCGCCCCAGGGGGTCATTGATTTTCCCTATATGCATATAGTAAAAACTTAAAAAATCTTCTTTAAAAGAACCCATAGAGCTAGAGCTAAGATATTTAGCATGAAACATCTTCTAATGGGTGTCTACCAAGTTTATTCAAATAAAAGCCCTGGGGTCAAAATTGGCCCCGCCCCAGGGGGTCATTGATTTTCCCTATATGCATATAGTAAAAACTTAAAAAATCTTCTTTTAAAGAACCCAAAGAGCTAGAACTAAGATATATAGCATGAAACATGTTCTAATAGGTGTCTACAAAGTTTGTTCAAATAAAAGCCCTGGGGTCAAAATTGGCCCCGCCCCGAGGGTCATTGATTTTCCTTATATGTGTATAGCAAAAACTTAAAAAATCTTCTTTGAAAAAACCCATATAGCTAGAGTTTAGATATTAAGCATGAAACATATTCTAGTGAGTGTCTACAAAGTTTGTTCAAATAAAAGTCCTGGGGTCAAAATTGGCTCCGCCCCAGGGGGTCATTGATTTTCCCTATATGCATATAGTAAAAACTTAAAAAATCTTCTTTTAAAGAACCCAAAGAGCTAGAGCTAAGATATTTAGCATGAAACATGTTCTAATGGGTGTCTACAAAGTTTGTTCAAATAAAAGCTCTGGGGTCAAAATTGGCCCCGCCCCGGGGGTCATTGATTTTCCTTATATGTGTATAGCAAAAACTTAAAAAATCTTCTTTGAAAAAACCCAAATAGCTAGAGTTTAGATATTAAGCATGAAACATCTTCTAGTGAGTGTCTACCAAGTTTGTTCAAATAAAAGCCCTGGGGTCAAAATTGGCCCCACCCCAGGGGGTCATTGATTTTCCCTGTATGCATATATTAAAAACTTAAAAAATCTTCTTTTAAAGAACCCAAAGAGCTAGAGCTGAGATATTTAGCATGAACATGTTCTAATGGGTGTCTACAAAGTTTGTTCAAATAAAAGCCCTGGGGTCAAAATTGGCCCCGCCCCGGGGGTCATTGATTTTCCTTATATGTGTATGGCAAAAACTTAAAACTCTTCTTTGAAAAAACCCAAATAGCTAGAGTTTAGATATTAAGAATGAAACATCTTCTAGTAAGTGTCTACAAAGTTTGTTCAAATAAAAGCCCTGGGGTTAAAACTGGCCCCACCCCAGAGGTGTCATTGTTTTAGTAAAAACTTAAAAAATCTTCTTTAAAAAACCCAATGAGCTAGAGGTTAGATTTTAAGCAGGAAACATCTTTTTGTTGGTGTCTACCAAGTTTGTCCAAATAAAAGCCCTTGGGTTTAAATTGGCCCTGCCAAAGGGGGGGGGGGGGCGGAGGTCATTGTTTTTCATTATATGTGTGTAGTAAAAACTTAACATCATGGAACATCTTCTAATGGGTGTCTTCCAAGTTTGCTCAAATAAAAGCCCTGGGGTTTAAACTGGCCCCACTCCGGGGGCCTATATACAGGTGAGCGACCTCAGGGCCATCATGGCCCTCTTGTTTTCTTGTTCTCATTTTACCTGAAAATATAGCATAAATCTTAAGTCATATTAAATTTGCCATAATACATTTGTGTGCCAATAAACATAAGCTTCATGCTACTGAGGCATCTTAATATAGTAAACAAGTATTCCAAGTTCCAAAGCAATAGCTTTGATGGTTCGTGAAAAAGTGGATCTAAACATAAAACTTAACCAAACTGGAATGCCGACACTGACGATCAAGTGATGACAATAGCAGATATTTCAAAAATCAGATGAGCTAAAAATGCAATTACCGGTAATTAACAAATTAGCAAATTAGGCACTGAATTACTTTGATGGTGATAATAAGTTTAACAAATTTTTAGTTACTTTTAAGATTAAAGAAATAAGTAATTCAACCCTTAAGGGATTTTCTGTATGATCTGCCTATCTTTAAAAATAGAAACTAGAAATGAGTCCATAGGACACGGGTGCCCCCATGGCATCACTGTTCTGTCAATCTTATGACTCTAAGTCAAATATTTTTTGAAAACTAAAAATCTTTTACTAAGTAAAGGGCAAGAACTTTACAAATACTGAATAAATCCACAAGCAAACCCCAAGGTGCATAAGTACACATGCTAACCAACATTCTTGTAAACTTTCACGCCTACAAGTGAAATACTTTTTGAGCTATGCATGAACAAGTTGAAAATTGCAAATTTATACTACTGTAAGTCAAGGGCAATAACTTTAACAAAAATGAAAAAAATCCACATGCAAAGTCCCAGGTGCATATCTTCACAGTGATGTGAATCATCATTCCTGTAAAGTTGGTTGATTTTAACTAAAGCACTCAAGGAACAAACAACAACATAATGAAACGGTTTTTACTAAGTCAAGGGAAATAACAAATACTGGATAAATCCACAAGCGAAACCCCTGGTGCAAAACTAAATATGCTTAGCAACCTTCCCGTAATGTTTAATGACTCAATGTCAAATCCTTTTTGAGTTACATGCGACACAAGTTGAAAATTGCAAAAAAAATTTAAGTCAAGGGCAATAACTTAAAAAAAACTATATAAATCCGGCCGAACATACCCAGATGCACAACTTCACATGCTGATCAATATTCCTGTAAAGTTTCAAGACTCTAGGTCAAATACTTTTTGAGTTACCTGCGACACAAGTTGAAAATTGCAAAATTTTACTAAGTCAAGGGCAATTACTCTAAAAGTACTAAAATATCCAGACGAAAATATCCAGCTGCACAACTACACATGCTGATCAACATTCCTGTAAAGTTTCATGTCTCTAGGTCAATTACTTTTTGAGTAACATGCGACACAAAAGAGAACGGATGGACAGAAGGACGGACGGACAAGGGTAAATCTAAATGCCCGCCACTAAAGTGGGGGTACAAAAATACTAGCAATAGCCGCTATGCCCCAATGGTAATATTGCTACCACGAAATCGAACAGTTACAAGTAAGATTACAATCCAAATGATACTGAATATTTGACTTCAATACAGCTACTGGTAGTGAACAGATGTCCCCCAAATAATTTTGTTGCAGCTCAACAGAGATAAATATATTGAGGGACATGTCCCCCAAAACATAATAAATACAGGAATGTATAATATATATGCTTGACCTTTAAACCCTCTTATAGGCAATTTAGAATTTTACCTGTGACCTTGACCTCTGGCCTAATGACCCCAAAATTGTCCAGTGCCCTTTTGTTGTTGTGAGCAATTATCATGTCAAGTATGAAGTTCCTAGCAATAAGGGTTCTCATATTACAGGCAATTCTTGAGACAATCTGCTTCAGTGAAACTCATGAGACCTTTTCACAATGTATTTCTGTACACTTAGCAAATTTATAAATTACTTTGATGGTGAAAATATAAGTTTTATAAAAACTTAGTTAAAGATTTGAGAAATAAATTCAATCCTTTAGGGATTTTCACTATGAATTGCCTATTTTAGAAATCTTTAAAAATTACTAACAATAGCCACCAAGCCAATGGTAATATTACTACCATCAAATACAAGTCAAGCAATAGAACAGTTACAATGTACAAGTTAGAAGACAGGGGATTCATATATAGTGGGAAAGGAAAAAAAAATGACAGAATCCACTGTACACTTAGCAAATTTATATATATATATTATATTATATATATATATATATATATATATATATATATATATATATATATATATATATATATAGCAAATTTATATATATATATATATATATATATATATATATATATATATTATATATATATATAAGACAGTAAGACAGTAAGACAAACTTTATTTATAGTCGGTTATGATTAACAGTACAAAACATAAGCTTTAAGCTTGTATCCGACATGAACAAAATATAGAAAATAATAATAAGAAACAAAGAAAACAAAAACAAACAGACACCATAAGATAAAAATACATACAATTAATTTATATAGTCATTGTAATGAAATCTGAGCATTTACAATGAAAATATAGTCATATCTATTAACAGGGTTTTACATATATACAGATACATAGTACATAATTCAAGGAAAAGACTTAAAATTTATTTACAAGCAAAAAAACAGGAATCAAGTAAAATAGAACATAAAAGATTAGATGCACATAGAGCAGGCACACTTGTCATTACTCCATGTTTCAATTAGTCGTTTAAACTCATTTAAGTCAGATATATATATTATATTATATATATAATATATAGCAAAGGATGCAACTAAAAATTGCTCACTTCATGAAAAAGTAAATAGAACGCAGTATACAACAGTTTTTTTCCTTTTGACTGTTGGACATTGTTGAAAGAATCGATAATTGAATCACTTTGTAACACGGACAAGATATAATTAAAAATAACCTTTAATGTTTAATTTTTACACACGTTCATAAAATTTTCCGTTTGTAAAATTAGTCTTGTAAAATGGCATCTAATGCAAATGTCTGCTCAAATAAGAAAGTTTAATCATGTACAGTAATCGGTTAAATATCAATCAGTTACCACCATCAATGATGCAATCATGAACTTTTGGTACAAATTATTGTAACAATTTTTGTTTGTTTTGATAATTTCTATTCTTGGCTTCTATTTTGATGTTGCCCGTATGTTCCATGAGTAAATCCAACTTCTGTTGGTGACTGTCAATTTCATTG